AAGCTAAAATTTAAAACAAGCAATGCGTGAATGTAAGTATACAGTCGCTGTGAAGGAAAAGTGAACTTGTACTTTTAGTACTGTGGTACCGTGAATATTGACTTAATTTTGTTCATTGATTAACCTTAATTATTAAAATTGCATTTCTTTATTTTTGCAGTGATAACAATCGTATCGGGCAGCATGTCGGAGGAGGAGAAGAAGGCAGCCCGGGGCCTGGAGGTCAGTCCCGGCGTATCAAACACTGACGAAGGCACCCAGGAGGCCATCAAGATGATGGTGGCCCAGTTCCAGGAACAGCGTCCCAGGGAGCTGAACGCAGTGGAAGCGGAGTGGGGTCCCCCTAGAGGTAAGAACCACTCAACATAACTAAGCTACCTTTTATAGAGTGACAAACCTGTGTACAATTATAGCAGAATGTTAAATAGGATTTAATTGTACCATAATTTATCTCCAAGCGAGCCCAGAGAGAAAGGAAAACTACAATGTACCTCGTTTGTCAAACTTAATGAATAGCCGCCTCGCATATAGTTAATGGACTTCCCAAGTGTCAGTAGTTTACTCGTATCTGTGAGGTTTTGGTTTTAACTTCTACACAAACACCTCATCACGTTCCACTTTTGTTTTCAGTGAAAAAGAATGAAAAGACTCAAGAGGAAGTGAAAGCGAAAAGCGATACCAGTGCAGTTGAGAAAGGAGGACACTGAGCAGCAGTGACAGTTGCTTTATGTACGATGTACGTGTCTTTACAGTAAACTGAAGCAGGAATGAACGCTGTGCACTCATTAATGTACATGTAACAGTCCGTGCCTCGCCATAACTTCGCATTAGCAGGTTTCTTCATTAAATACATCAGAACGTCTCATGAACCTATATACATTGTATCATGTTGATGAAAAATTAAACTTGTACATTCATCAGTTGACCTAGTCAACAATGACATTTCACGTTGGAATTGGTGCTTGAAGTCTTATATAGTCAAAACCAGGAGTTGACTTGACTGCGGTTTTAAGAAATGAATAATTTCGTGAATGTAATAAATTGTTTTTTACAACAAAAATCTTAACGTGTTTTAGTGTAATCATTCAAGAACAGTGTGTGTGTGTGTGTGTGTGTGTGTGTGTGCGTGTGTGTGTTTGTGAGAGAAAGAGAGAGAGAGAGAGAGAGAAAGAAAGAGAAATGAACAAATAAATGGTGTAAATGGATGATTGTTGTTTAAAGCTTGAAAAGTGTTAGTTTGCTTTGACTATGTGTAGAACTGCCGACAATATCGTTAAACCATCGTTCTGTTGCTAAAATAGATCATTTAAAAATTTAATGCGTTTTCTTCGTAACTAAATTCACAAAATTCCCATAATTTGGAATAATGAAAACGTGTAAAAAGATGAACAACAAAAATTGTTTCGTTTGAGTTGAATTCAAAGTAAAATAAAACTCCCTGAGTAAGAAAAATCCCTTTTGCTTAATATTCAAGTTTTGATTCTTTTAAGAGAAATCCCCCGATTGCGAATTTTTTTCTGACTAATTGCAGATCAATACATAATGCAATGCGTCCTGTAAAGCACAACTGTCACAACTGTAGCAATTCGGCGCCATGACAGACTACATAGACTGATCATAGATTATATTTAGTTCACTCATGATGCTCTGTAATGATTGGGATTACAACATTTTGTTCAAAATGGCTATCGGTTGAAGCAGCATGTTTCTGACTGAAAATAAAAATCGTTTGTTATCGAAAGATGCCTATCCTGGTTAAAATTTGCGGAGTTCTTCTGTGAAAAAAGACTTGTAAAGATAGCTGAAGTTGACCTACTTTCAAAATATGTTGGCGGTAAGCGAGTTTCAGGAAGTGAATTGTCTATTTCATTTAATTCCACACTTAAACAATGACGCAGGTTCATGATGTAGTACTCAGTGTTTGCGGTAATAATCTTGTTTGCTATAAATTTTTAAGGACCAGCAGAAAGACCTTGGTAGGCTTCAGTTGCCCCTGGAAGAGTTGGAAGGCTCAGTTGAGGTTTTTGCCTCTCGTTTGGCCTAACATGCTACGCGGATGACGAGGCTTCGTAACACATTGTGTTAGGAACTCTAGTTGATAAAAAATTAATCCACATCCTGGGGAAACTGTGTGTATTCAGGAGCACCCTGTGGTATATTTTTGGCATTTAAAGCCCTCTTGTACCCGTTCACGCAACAGTTTGATAGCGTATTTGCTGGTCTGTTCAGAATGAGTCAAGCTGATCTAGCCAGTGGGCACTAACTCTACGGAGACTGTAGCTGAATGCAACTACCTGTAGATTAACAAACTAACACACATCCTATTGTTTCCGAAGTACTTCAATAATCACCAGCCTCTCTGTATTTTACTCAGTGCCAAGAGGTGAATAAGCGCCTGTGAATAAGAGCACGTTCTGAACATTGAACCATTTGATCCACGGATCAATTACGGTCAAACCACTTGAATGTTTGTTTCGTAATCCCCATGGGGAATCTATTCAGTGTCTTATTGGAAATTAAGCGGTAAGCTTTTTAGTGGGTCCCCATATTTGATCTGCGGATCTGTTTTAGTCTGTTGTTTTGAATGCACCCTTGTCTGGTAATCTGATTACATTCAGCATGAGTCCCCATAGAGTTATTGTGTGCTCAAGCTAATGCACATTAACTCATTCTGAAAGGCCCTTGGTCTTTTTATTTAAGCTATGTTCTACTTACACACATCATTTCTAAATTATGCTACATACTGTTTTCATATGTGGCCTCGAGAGTTTCTAAGGGTGCTTTCCCAGAGATTTAGATCGATCTAAAGATTAAGATTTAGATCGACCTAACTCCCTGGGGGTTCACGCTAAATTGCAGTCAGCCGAGCGGACACCATAGTTAATTACCCCCTTACAGCTTTTAGTAGGCGGGACAGATGCTTAAGCCGGCCAAGCTGACAGTAATCTAGTGGGACTCCCCACAGGGATAGATAAATCTAAAAATCTATGGAAATGGGGTGTAACATGCAGGTTATGAGGCACTGTGACCTGCATGGCATGTAAGCCCCCAAAACTGAAGCAATGACCCTCACGAAATTCGTGTGTTAGTATTTCTATTATATAATATATCATTTAATTTAATTTCAAGGAGGCCTACTGGTAACTGTAAGACAAACAGATGAATCTTTTCCAACTTAAAGTCCAGTCACTGGGAAAACTGGTAGCTGTACATTGTTGAGGAGATGAGAGGTAAGCTTTTTGATCTGAGAGCTCCTGTTGGATATATGCAAAATGGCCATTATTTTACACTTTCTGGTACCGGTATCTTTCACATGTTAGCACAGCATTACCAGTGCATATTAGAGACTGTATGTAGTAGATAGAGGAGTGATAATGCATGGATTTTCTTGCAAGTCCATGCCAAGCTTAATATGAAGGGTCTGCACATGATTTTTTTCATCTTCGGATTTGAAATGTGGTGTGGTGATGGTCACATACTTAGTCTAGTATCTGAGTATGAATAAAGCATTTTAATTGTAAAAGCTATGTCCTTAGGAAGAAAAGTTTACAAATATACATGTCTTGGGGACTTCATGTTTGCCAAATGTATTTCTCATAAATTAGTCAAGTTTCCCAACATGATCTTCATTTCTACATATGTAGACAGAAATCTGGAGTTTGTTACACAATAAGTAAAGGAGCTGAGAGTTTAAAATTTTGGTTTCAAGGTTGTTCCAAGCAGAGAAAAATGCATTAAAGTATGTAAAGAGATTATTGGACAACCAACATTTGCAATATTAGAAATAAAAGTTGATACAATGTATTTTTTAAAGCATTCATAGTAGTAAATGACCTAGTAATGTTGGCAGAATGGGGAACAAGAGGGGGTTTGGGGAAAAATGCAACAATAATGTCCAAATTATATTACAAGTTGTGATAGTGATATATATATCACACAGCATTTGGAGATGATGCTGAGTGCTTCTATCACATACTTCCTTACTCGCATACTACTGGCAAAGAGTGGAATAAATTAACCACAACTTACTGTTGATTCAAAATTTTGCAAAGACCTCTATACTATAGGTGGAAACAGTTTTAACGTTGGGCTTGAATTATTGAGCACTTTCATACATTTTATGTGAAACTTTGTTTTTACTGTTTCTAGGTGACAAAACATTATCCATATGGTAGCACTAGCTGAACTTTGTCAAGAGTCAATACAGATTAGTTCCTGATGCAGTAATTGAGAAGCATCCATTGTAAATTAGGTGGAAATCCTTAGATTACTCTCCTGGCCACTCCCTGGCCCAGACCCCCTTCCACTCCCTAGGCCACTCCCTAAACCACTCCCCTTCCACTCCCTAGGCCACTCCCTAGACCATTCCTCAAGCTTGACACTCCCTAGACCATTCCTCCTCCACTCTCTTGGCCACTCCCCCAGCCACTACCTAGACCACTCCCCCTGTCACTCCCTGGTTCACTTCCCTTGCTACTCCCTTTGCCACTCCCAAGACCACTCCCCCAGCTACTCCCTTGACATAATATAGACAACTCCCCCTTCCCTTCCTTGACCAATCCCCTAGCCACTCCGTAGACTACTACTCTGCATCTGCCTTGGCCACTCCCTAGACCACTCCCCCTGCCTCTCCCTCAGCACTCAGTTGACCACTTCTTGTGTCACCCCCAAGACCACTCCCTGCAGCCACTGTATCTTCCACCATGCAGGAGTACCTGGAGAAGAAACTGACCACAGCACATGATACGGGGAGCAGAACCAACTTCAAGGAAAAGGCTATAGGTTTTGTCTCTGCAGTAGGATTTGTATGTCTTCTGCCTTTGTTGCATATAGGTAATTTTATCTTACTAGTACATATACCTAAAACACAAACATACAGTACTTACTGGGTGAGTTATGAAGTAATTTGTTTTGTAGGTTGAGGAAAGAAACTATGCGTCCATGATTACTAGTAGTAATTGTCAAGTAATATATTTTTTACCCTTCTTTCACACACAGCATGCATTTTCCAGGTGTATTTTTGAAGCATATATGCAACACACATTCAAACAAACATTTTCCAGGTGTATTTACAAGAGTATATGTTCATTTTCCAGGTGTATTTTACAAGCAAATATGTAATACACATAAAATGTACATTTCCCAGGTGTATTCTACTAGCATATTTGTAATACACATAAACACATACAATTTTCAGGTGTATTTAACAAGCATATTTGTAATACACATAAACACATACATTTTCAGGTGTATTTAACAAGCATATTTGTAATACACATAAACACATACATTTTCAGGTGTATTTAACAAGCATATTTGTAATACACATAAACACATACATTTTCAGGTGTATTTAACAAGCATATTTGTAATACACATAAACACATACATTTTCAGGTGTATTTAACAAGCATATTTGTAATACACATAAACACATACATTTTCAGGTGTATTTAACAAGCATATTTGTAATACACATAAACACATACATTTTCAGGTGTATTTAACAAGCATATTTGTAATACACATAAACACATACATTTTCAGGTGTATTTAACAAGCATATTTGTAATACACATAAACACATACATTTTCAGGTGTATTTAACAAGCATATTTGTAATACACATAAACACATACATTTTCAGGTGTATTTAACAAGCATATTTGTAATACACATAAACACATACATTTTCAGGTGTATTTAACAAGCATATTTGTAATACACATAAACACATACATTTTCAGGTGTATTTAACAAGCATATTTGTAATACACATAAACACATACATTTTCAGGTGTATTTAACAAGCATATTTGTAATACACATAAACACATACATTTTCAGGTGTATTTAACAAGCATATTTGTAATACACATAAACACATACATTTTCAGGTGTATTTAACAAGCATATTTGTAATACACATAAACACATACATTTTCAGGTGTATTTAACAAGCATATTTGTAATACACATAAACACATACATTTTCAGGTGTATTTAACAAGCATATTTGTAATACACATAAACACATACATTTTCAGGTGTATTTAACAAGCATTTGTAATACACATAAACACATACATTTTTGCAGGTGTATTTAACAAGCATATTTGTAATACACATAAACACATACATTTTTCAGGTGTATTTAACAAGCATTTGTAATACACATAAACACATGCTTTTTCAGGTGTATTTTACAAGCATATCTGGGTCCCTGACAAGAAAAAGATCATTGACAGATATGCCTGTGACTGCAGTTGTTTTGACACAATATTCAGAGGTGAGGCAAACATATTTACTATATTGAGACATAGTAACATTGTATAAACTATTAAAACTGTATATAGCTTATGACTTGGATCTTTTCAATGGGGAAAATTATCTATCTTTCATAGATAAACTTAAAGAATCATTAAAAATATGTTTCTGTAGCATTTGTGGTGCTTTTACCACAAAGAATAGAAAAACATGGTGACCTGCTTGATATTTTCTCATTACCATTCAATAAGAATGTTCTAATTTCAAGAATTTCTTACTAAAAGATGCAGAATCTGTGAAATTCAGAATTGCCGCCGCCCCATTGAAAAGATTAAGTAATTACTGTTTTATATATAAAACTGTATACAAGTAGCTCTAGGCACCTGTAGAAAGCTTTCTTGTTGACCTCTTATTAAGGTAAAGGCCCATATTGTTAATGGTACAAATAGTCTTGAATTTTTCATACATGGGGTACACATATACTGGTAGTTCTAAGCAGTATCAAATATTACATATATCTAGACACATTCCTTTAATATATTATATAAAATATAACATTTCTAGAAAATATTTCTTCAATATGGAATATTGAATATAACACAGGCCTATGTGTCTAGTCAGTATTGTCTGTCAGCTCATAAACATTTCTATTTCTAGGGCGCTATGAATACCCTGTCAGCTCATATAAACATGTCTATTTCAATGCTACGAGTAACACCTTCTATATCTGGACGCTGACTGTGCTGGTGCTGTTCCTGACCTATGATGCCATCAAGTAAGCAAACACCTGATTCTTATCCTTTGTAATTCTCTCCAGGGTCACTTGCAGATAACAGCGATATCCAGTTGATGAAATATTTCAGTCATGTCATTAGTGTTCACTTTTGTTGCTGGCTATATCATGCGCACACGTGTATGACTAAATGAAGTCATAAGAAAAAGGTGATTTTTTTCATATTTTTGAATAATATTTTAATATTAAAATACGTAATACATACCCGTAATATATTTTTTTTTATTGTGGTGTTCATTCCATACCATGGTAATATGTGGTTTTCTGTCCTTTGTCAAGGTATTTGGTCGGGGTCCTGCGGCGTGGAACATGTCGTAGGAGATGGCTGTTTACCCTCCTAGTATCCGTGTACCCTCACTACTACTCCTGGTGGTCCTACTTCAACTACTGGAACGAGGACTTCTACCAGCATTGGGCACACCACATGCTGTTTGCTGTCACAGAGTTGGTGTCCACGGTTGTTGTTCTGAACCTGTGTGACTCCGGCCACAGGGTGAAGACGTGGAAGCTACTGGCGGTCTTCAGTATCAATCTGGCCCACATCCTCATCAGCGGCATAGACCAGTTCATAGAGCACGTGGTTTTCTCCAAGGGGTTTGCCTTCCAGAGTTTGCGGGATGTGGGGCTGATGCTGCCGGATATAGTCCATGTGGCCGTCCCTGTCTGGGAGCTGAACACCTGGGCACGCTCTAAACACAGCACTGTCTGGGAACTCTTCTATAGAGAGGAGCTCATGATGGCTGCTCTTTTTATTATACTGTTTTCTATATTTGGAACTATTATTTAACATTAGACAGGCTACAAAATGGAGAGTTTGAAGAAAGAAAATCATGTCTGCTCTATTTATTATACTGTTTTTTTTTTTAATATATTTGGAACTATTATTTAACACTATACAGTTTACTGGTATATGTTTATTGAGCTGTAAATTATCATTCCATGTAGTATTTATTGGTTGATTTTTTATTGCCATTAACTGTAGCCCTAGAAGGACTTGATTGGTACATGTAGATTTAAGAATTTTAAAACATTGGTTGGAAATCCGCACCTCGAAAAACTGTATTATAAAATTCTGCTATGAAGATATTAACAAAAATTTTGATTGGATTTGGTGTTTACGGAATGAACTGGAAACAATTGGCTTGTCATTTATTTTTTACGAAAATATTTCAGATAATTTTATACTGTCTTTGATAGAAGAAAGATTGAAAGATAATTTTGGACAAACATTGACTGGGGAAATATCCACAGGGTTTAAGGGTTATTTTACCAACATCTTGTTGACAGTTTTGCAGTGCAATTCTAGTTGAATAAGCCAATATCACAGAAATACAAGGTATTTATTGGTAAATTTAGACATTCGTCACGTAATCTAGCTGTATAAACTGGAAGGTATACAAATGCAAATAAAAATTAAGAACTTAGAATTTATGCAATTTCAATGATATTGAGGATGAATTTTATTTTATTCTTAAATGTTCTTGCTGCAGTGCGATTAGGCAGAAATACATAAAAAATTATGGAAACCAAGCGTTTTCAAACCAAGTAAATTGTTATCAGTTAACAATGTTTCACAGTTAAACAACTAAGGAAAGTACCTAAAATATGCATAGAAATTAAATTTAGCATCAATCTGATGAGTTATTATTATTAGTAGTAGTAGAAGTAGTAGTAGTATTGTTGTTGTTGTTGTTGTGACTTAATATTTTACTGTATTTTATTCTGATGAGTCGTAGAGCTCAATGGTTTAATAAAATTCAATTAAAATTGAGTCCTGTTCTACAGGGGATTCTCGCTACAGTGCAATCAGTGGAATCGGCTTAATTGTCTGACTCGCCTCCTCGAGCTGCTAAGAAGTAATTAAGCCGAACACACACGAAAGGTTTACAGATTTTATTTGAATTACATGACCATAAATTCCAAATTATAGTCACCCAGCTAGTGCACAGCTGTTTTCAACGTCATAAAATATACTTTTGGATTGTGAAATCATTGAATTAACTAAATCCCTTGTGTTGTTCATAATTTTAAGTTGTCTTATACAGAACACAATTCCGCACTTAGGCATTGAATTTACTCCCTAACAAAATGATACCTGCACTCATAACTGTCCAAATTGTACTTAATTAAGATTGAATTAAAATTTGCTGTCTTTGCGATTAATAAAACGGTTATCGTAACCTTTTGCTCTACAACATGAAGCATTTACAACTAAAGTCAATCACAACATTTAAAAAGTTTTAAAATTCTAGAACTATTTACCGAATGTAAAATGACATTTAATATTGCGTAAAGTACTAATTTTAAACCTAGATTGCATTTGCCATTCGATGTCCGTACATTCCTTTTTTCTTCCCTTTTCGTATGGCCTCTGAGCGGAGGCAGACGGTGGTCGTGCAAAATCGTGCTGATTCACGGCCACTGTAGGCTCTCCGGTTTTGTGAATATAACACATATGACAATTTTTGAAAATAACAAGCCCGCCGACCGTAACGTTTTTGTAGGTGGCATTTCACAGCTCCCGCCCGGGCATTGTTCGGTGCCTTGCCGTGATTGTGAAAACGGTTGAACCTGTGGCTGGCCTGTTTCCTTTCCAGCTTTTGCGGGTTAAGGGGGCATAACAATGGTAAAGATATTTTAGAAAACTTAGTGTTAATCACATGCAGAATGTTTCCCTTTTCTGACCACATGTGTGCTGCGCCGACAATGCATTGATCTGCAAGGAAGCCGCTTATACCCCCTTTACACTGGACGGCGTCCTTTCTGCGTCCTATCTGCGACCATGAAATTTGGCATCGCTGTGGTCTAAATAAGGAGGCACCAGCAATGATTTTGTATCAGAATGAATGCTCAATGATCGGCCAGTTGTCGGCACGTAAAGTATTATAATTTTTTAACTCTCAAATGGGGCCGTACTGCTGGACGCAGAAAGGACGCCGTCCAGTGTAAAGGGGGCTTTACGGCAAATGCACTGAGACTGAAAGGTTACTTTTCTTTTTCGAAAAACCGTTTTTTTTACTTGACCTGGAGGTCATGTGGGAAAAATAGCACTGGCGTCCGCACGTAATGTAAACATATTCACCGAAGCCCGTAGCCACGCACGATGACAAAAAAAAAAAAAAAAAAAAAAAAAAAAAAAAAAACGAAAATCGTATACGATTTAATCATACTCTGTCTTTGCAAATGTAATCTAGGTTTTATTATCGACAAACAATAAATCCTTTAAAACATAAATTGTGTGCAATCATATCATGTTTTATCCTACTACTATACATGTAGTTATTTAAGCTAGCGCCGAATTTCGTTAAAATCCTGAAATTAGCTACATAACTTGAAATTTACTTTACACCAAATGTAATCCATAATTCGTACATGTAGTTCAATGCTCAATGTACTATGAATTAAATTATTCAAGTAAATTGGCCAGTTTCTGGAATATTGTATAACACGCAACTTTGCCTATTGCAAATTGTCGACCTTTGCACCAATACAACGTCTACTTTTTGTTTGTCAAATTGATAGTAATATCACTTCGATCATGAAAATGCTTGTTACGTGTACAAGTAATGTTCTCTCAATGATCAATTTACTACATGTATGTTACCAGACATGCACTCCACCACAAGACGTTGTTGCTGTTTAAACAGTGAATCAAATGAATCAAATAGTAAAACAAATCTAATCTTCTTCCCTCTACCAGGACCACAGATTGATTTTCACTAGAAATTCACAGATATGTCTCTGGCTAATTCTACACTGTAAAAACAGTGTATATGCTTTTTACTGAACTGTCCAGCAAGACGTTATGTAGGGCCTTTGGTGTGGCCTCTTGTATATATATATATATAGCTCTAGTCTGCTGCATGTACGGCTTATTCTATACAGAATAAAGCGTCTTGATTTTAAAAAAAAAGACGGCTCATTATCATGATTAATTAATCAAATAAAGAACAAAATTTTATTATTTCTAAGTTGGTCCATTTCTGACTTATCCTGAAGAGTTTATCAAAATGCGTTCATAATTTTTGTTATCTAACAAACAAACCAACGCCAAAAACGGAAACTTGCTGGCAGAGGTCATAGCGTCTACACACATATTTGAGGTGAATTTTTAATAGTAAAACTGTAACTGTTTTTAAAACTTGATTATAATTAAAAACATCAAACTACAAAACAACAATGAAAAAACTTAGATATACATGTTAGGATTAGTTATAGCCAAAGTAGTGTCCAATCCTATATCTTTCTTTAAATGGTTTTACCCATAGCTAGAAATCCCACGCCGCTGCCACCAGCGCCATTAACATTAAAAGTGTAACGTTACCGACAGGTATGTTTCCGCGGCTCTGCTTCGGGGTTGAGAGCGTGGTCGCTCCATTAAATGGCGTCACGGAGTTGTGGTTCGTGACGTTCTTCATGCAGGCAGAGGACGATCCTGAACGTATACCCACTGGCCCTCCGGATATCTTCAACTGCACGTTTTGCAGAGCGTTTTCCATCCATGCTTGTACTTGGTCAAAAACATTGCGAACTTCTTCGTAGTGGGCTAGTCTTACGCGAAGAGTGACTAGTGTTTTGAGGACAAAGGTGATAGACGTGTTATCCGCGCTGGGTGTCTGACTACAGGCAAGAAAAAGTGCCCGCACCGCTCTCAGTGCAGCTATCAATCGACCATCACTTTTCATATCTCTACAGCCATCTCTTGGTGTTGGAACCCAGCCACACGGCTCAAAATGTAAGAGAACGGGCGACCGCACCACCGTGAAATTGTACATAAGGGGGCGGCAGCCCTGGGCATCAGGAATAAAACCAGGGGGGCACACTATCTGCTGATCTACAGGCTGGAAAAAGGCACGTGTGCAGATGTATATTGTGCATGCATAGTTTTACTACTCACGGTCCGAGCAGCAGTTAACATCAATAAAACCGGGAAGAAACTTCTGACAATCATATTAGAATATTAACATGAATTGATAAAGTAGTTATTTACAATCTATCTATCAATCTATCAATCAATCTATTTATATCTAAATGCAATTTTCATTATCATCCTCATCATTTATGATTATTGCAGTCCGTTCTTCTCACCCTAGTCATGACGTCATCACTCTGTTTCTTGTCTTGATCTCCCACATACAGTAGAGCGCGGAGAGAAAGACCGAAGAATCTTTCTAGTGGCGGTGTGGAATAGTGATCTGAATATAACATTTGTGAATTAATTAGTGGACATTTAAGCTTGACAAACATGATCGTGTAGGTGTAGTTTGAACAACTAGAATTATATTTTGACTTAGGACCGCGTTAAGATTCAAATATCGTACCAGCTGAATTGAACCAACCCTGCAGGGTATTCTCGCTAAAATGTATGCAGTGTAATCAGCTTAACTGTGTGACACGCCTCCTTGAGTAACTATTTAATTAGTTAATTACTCCCTAGCAACTCGAGGGAGCGTGTGAGACATTTAAGCCTATTAAAAAATGAAACTGCCATTTGTGGTGACCTAATACGTACTTCCATTTACAGGCGAATTTAAAGCTGCCACAAAACCCGACCAAACGCCACCATAAGGTATCAAAAAGTGTAACCAATAGAGATACCAAAGGACATCAAGCAACTGGTTCGGTTTATTCCTTGGTAAGTCGACTTTATATTTGTCTTATGAGAAAATGTGAAGTGTTTTAGATTCGCTTCCTTGGATTCACGATTTTTACCTGCTACTTATTTGATCCTCGATCTGAACAATGGCTTTTTATATATAAAACATAATGAAACAAGCGTACTACATTAAAGTGACTCTCAATCCCAAGATGCAAAAGGCAATAATTATACCTTATATCAGAATGATAATGACTTACATCATATCTCGAAAAAGGCGCGATTTTCTCAGTAGCTCATTTCAGTTTTCCCGTCAATACACAATCAGTTGTTGCTTTTTCCGGATTAGAAATGAAAACTAATTTGAACTGCAATTTCACAAACCTGCATTTATGCATGTAATTTTCACAAACATAAACAGAATCAAAAGATATCGCACATCACAAAGTCAATATCAATTACATTTAGCCATTTTCGTTTTGATACCTACTATTGGCGAAATCGAGGGAGGCAAGTAAGCTTAATGAAAATTATTCACGCCAATGATGCACGGTTTTGATATTTTTACACATGGGGTTTCTCATATTTAAACGCACCACTCACCTTCGCAGAATGTAGAATCACCTCTATAACAGATCATGCAGTGGAAGTTCTTGTAACTTTTATCAAAACCGCCGACGACAACGGGATTGTTGTACGCCATACATGCATCTCTTAAAGCTGAGTGCAGGGGGAGTGGACGAGGTACACGGAGTAGGCTTCCATTGATAAAACCGAACTTGCAAGGACCGAAGTCATCGTCCTCGGCTTCCCTGAAGCATGTTCTTAAATGCCACTCCGGTTTTGGCTCGAAAATTAAATTACTTCCGCTTTCTTTGAGTTTTCTTAACACGCAATCCGAGGAGCTGCAATTTGCAATGGAGTCAACTGGTACGTATGTAGTGGAATAGACGGCGAGTTCCCATGGTTCCCCGCCGTTTTTAATACCATGACAAGTTGCACAGTACTTGTTTCTGAAGGTGATCATTGAATCTGAGTCGGTGACTGGCTGGTACAATACCACGTCTTCTGTGAGGCTAGTATTTGAGATATTAG